TATATATATATATATATATATATATATATATATATATATATATATATATATATATATATAAAAGTTATGGAAGAAATGAATAGTAAATTTGGGATACTTTGTCCAAGTTTGGTCCCTTAATTTACATATCCGGTCCATGTACTTCTTTAATTAATTTATTCATGTCCTTTTATTTGTGTTCCATTCAACTTCCCATTTTTTTGGCAGAATTGGTCCTTGTATTATTGTTGGAAGTTAGGAATACTAAATTTGGATGTTTTTTGGCAACTTTGGTCATTATTCTTTACCCATTTTGACACTTTTAGTCCTTGCAATCAATATTTTTATACTTTTTTGAAACCTTTTAATAGTTAAAGTTTGGCCACAAAACTTTAACGGTTTGACAACTTTGATCCCTTTTCTAAAAAGTTGCTAATTCCTACCCTTTTAATTCTTTAGCCATTTTCACACTTCTGGTCCTTGCAGTCAAAACTTTTACATTTTTTGTCCGGGGCAAAGCCCGGACTTTTCATCCTTGCACTTTGTATGTCTGTCATATTTATCAATTCGGAAATAACATTGAAAGCTTTTGGCCCCCGCGTAGCGGGGGTCACCTTTCTAGTTTTAATTATTCTTTCATTTATTTGAAAATAAATAATTTAATTTTGTAAAGTAAGATTTAATTATGTAATTTAGTAGAAGTTTTTTTTAATACCTATTTAGAAAATAACTAACCTAATTTGAAATAGTTATAAAAAAGTGAAACATACAAACAAAGTTTTTTTCCTTTAGTTTAATTGAATGTGTAAAAAAAACAAAATCAGTTAGTTCATATAGCAACGTTTGTAAAGAAAAAACGTAAAATCAATGTTTTATTAAATGCAAAAGTTGATTCATATTTTTTTTAATAATTGATAACTACAAAAACTTTGTTTACATATATATATATATATATATATATATATATATATAACAAATAAGACATCAGTACCTTACTATTAATGTTGAATTAGAAATGCAACAGCAAATAAAAAAAATAAACTTTTATATTTTTCTTTATTTTAGTTTTATTTTCCGATGCAATCAAAAACATTTTTAAATTTTAGAGACTAATTAAAAGGAATGAAAACAACCTCTATAATAACTACATATACAATTTATACATATTATTTTGAAAAACATATTTCACGTTTCAGATATGAAAACACATAAACAAACATTATATTAACAAAATAAGCTATTTTGTACTTATTCAATGCACATCAACACGATTTGACAGAATTTTTTCTACTACATACATTCAAGAATAAGAAAATTCACACACAAAAGAAATAATAACTAAAAATGTTATTATGTGCACCACCTTAGACAACTTGGTGCAGAAAACAAAAATAGAAAACACTCATTTCAGGCTAAAAAAATCTGTTTTGAATAAGTTGTTTCATAAGTTGGCCAATTGTTTATACCTTGCTCTTCAACAAATAGAGTCTCTTTCTTCCTGTTGAAGATCAGATTTCAAGTTACTCTTCTAATAGCACATTATTAAGAAAACAACCCAAGAACTTATTCACAATAACCAAATTGATTCACATCATCATATACATGATCCTTGAAAATAGAAACTAAACATAAAAAAATAGTTTTGCTTTTTGTTCATCTATATCACAAAATATATCATCATAAAACAAATAATTATAAACCTACACACAAGAACCATATACAATCATCTCTCTATAACCAGATCAAAGAAAAAGGCAAAAAATTAAATGAAACCATAAAATGCATATTCTTTGGTATCATATGACAACCCTGCAAAGGAGACAAATCATGCAGAATCAACGTTTTGATCTTTTAAATCAGTAAATCACAAAATATTTTCATATAATATTTTTAGTAAATATTATCAAAAAGATTTCAGATCTGTAAATCATATAATATTTACAGAAAAAAGAGAAAGCATAAGAAAACGTGAGTTGTATCTTGGCAAAAAAACTTTCAGATGTGTCCTCACTGTTGGCCAATGCTTAACAAAATTAACCAAAGTCTTGTGGATTTTCCACAAGTCTACATACCGGTTAAAGCTAAACTTCTTCCTGGGATAACTTTTCCCAACAAAAATGATAATGTTGAATCGGTAACCAACACAGCCTGCAAAAATTAACAGAAAAATGAGATTCTACAAAATACCCAACTCTGTTTCCATGGAAACACAACAAAAAATGGAATAAAATTGAGCATTCTAGCTACTGTATAACCTCATTCATCAGCAACCGTGAATTATATTAAAAAACCTTAATCACAAAATGATTCCTCCAATTATACATCCAGTCCATTTCTCCATCTTCACAGTGTGCTTCTTCTTCCTTCCAACTTTTCCCTTAAAATCCCCCCAAATCCAATCAAACAACTTGCAGAAAACAATCCCTACAAACAAATGTCAAAATAAGACTCAACTTCATTATAACATTACAAATCAATGGGTTCAAGAGGAAACATAAAGACTTGAGATATTGTGTTAAGATGTAAAACGATGTCTTTACTTGAAGGCCTTTCTTTGAAGCAATATCTCTAACAGCTGCAAAATAACGGTTTAACTCATTATTTAAAACTAAAATATTGTATACAAAACCCAATTAACTAAAACATGAGCAAATTAATGTGCTTTTTACATCAGATTAAATAAAAACACCACCTTTTTCTGAATTGTAGACAATTTTAAGTAAATGGAAGCTTCAGGTGGAGATTTATCTCCACCTAGTCGAAAGAGACGGAGAGAAGGAGAATGTGATAAATTAAACTCATGGTCTTGCATAAAACTTAGTACCCTGTTGCATCTTTCTTCTCCATCTTGTTCTCACAAGGTGTCGTCTTTGTCTAATCTTTACCTGCAAACACAGTTTTACTAAACTTTTAACAATTGTCATTCATTTCATAAAAAAAACTCAAGATCATACAGAAAGAACATAAAATTAAACTTAAAAATATTGTAATTGAAACTTTATTTTTCTTTACGTGTAAAGAAGACGAACAGTCGAGCCCAATCGGACCCAACCAGGTCCATAGATCTTTCGACACATAGAACCATTCTTGTCGATGCATTTTGTACCACCGACGGCCCCAAACGAGACCTACTCTCGAGCCCTTTAACCAATGAATTCAGATCCATGTCTCCGACTCAGCACCGCTCGCGGTTTTCACACTATAACCACTACCGAGATTCTGATCAAAATCAGAGAAAGCGAGTTAGATAGAGAAACTATATACATAACCACAGAAGGGCTGGAGAGGAATGAGTGAAGGATGCATTTGAGGTTTCTCAGGAATTTTGCTATGTTAGATGGTTTAAGGTTCTTACCTGTTCACGGTTGTGGTGGGGGGTTTTCAGATCGTTTAGGCGGAGAAGGTGGACCATGGACATCGATTTTGTTGTAGAAGGTGGTGTAGCTGTTGCGAGTGATGGTGGTGACAACGATTTTGTTGGATTCACGTTTCAAGATAAACCCTAATGCAGGTTGAGAGAAAGAGAGAGTTTTTTGGATTTGAAAGCTGTTGACATCGAGATAGCTGGAGAGGAATGAGTGGGGTTTGTGTGTGTTTGTTCACATACGTTTGCATTCGTTGGATCACCTTTGTGTTATCTCATCCATCGGATAAGGTGACATGTTGGCAATCCGGACATCAATCCGTGTGAGGATAAAAAAGTCATGCTTTAATACTTGTACCTCTTAAATTGATGTCTTAAAATTAAGACTTTGTGCACAAAAGTATTGTACAATTATGTATGTATATTAATATAGTATATATATATATATATATATATATATATATATATATATATATATATATATATATATTAAGTGTTGATATTTGTAAGAATGAAGAAGTCTTGACAATTAAAATTTTTATATATAAATATCTATCTTATCAGAGGATGATTGTATATTTTTAAACATAAATATAGTGATATTTACAAGAACAAATAATGTTTATTATATTTTTTAACATTTTAATATTAAGCGTACTAGTAATGATAATATCATTATTATGAATACATTAATTGACAGTATCGTATGTACCAGTGAAACAAATACTATATTTAATTCGTATTATATTCAAGCATTAGAAACATGTTGAATGAGTGGTTATATTAATTGATTTCAAACCAAGAGGTTGTGGTATCGCTTCATCTCCAAGATATCATTTGGGCTTTAATTTTGTCAACCTTATAAGTGTATCCGTCATCGCATTTGAGATAAAACATTCACCATTCTCACATTTCATATAAGAGAGTCAAGTCTATAGCTTTTAACCTACATCTTTGAGGAGTCGCACATTGTTGGGGATGAAAAATTTTACGCTCCTCATCTATACATAAACTTTCTCAAAAAATGATTAACACTTCTCATCCGAGTTAAAGTAACTCGTTGAGTTACCCGAGTTTTAGTAAAAAGACAAAAAAAAAACAAATAAAAAAAATGACAAAAAACCGCAAAGAAAAAACCGAACCGCAAAAAACCGAAAAAAAACCGCAAAAACCGAACCGCATAAAAACCAAATGGTGCGGTTTCTAAACGTCAAAAAACCGAAGTTGCAGTTTTCGGTTTGGTTTTTGCCAAAAACCGCACCGAACCGCACAATGCTCACCCCTACTGTGATCTGTTAAGATCGGGAAACTGTCAGCAGAAAATCATGTAAAAATGAAGTTTCTCTCCTTTAAGGGAGCTCCATGCTGACAGTTTATGCTGACAGTTTTCCGATCTTAACATTTATCATGATTTAACTCTTATACATTGAGCTTATGGTTGTATGGTGTTGACCCGTTAGAGGTTTTCTAGATTGAATATTTTGAGTTTGGGATATGACATCATACTTTTTAAATTTATCTTGTTGTAGTATTGAAAATAACTATGTATTTGTATAGTATTGTTATAAGTTGTAGATTTTTCAAACTATGATATAGTAATAGAAGAAAAAGTATAATAGTAATAGAAAAAAAGTATAATACTATAATAAACAAATCAATAAAATTATGTTTCAGTTTCTTGCACTTTAACTCTTTTAAAGTTATACAAACATAAAATCTTTATTTTTTAACCTTATTTTATTTTATTTTATTTGAAACGACAAACTAACTAACCTATTCCCAAATAACCACTTATATGAGAGAGTCACTCCTTACCGCTAGGTCATTGACCCTTTGGTTTTTGACCTTAGTGATAAGATCAATTCGTGAATGCCCTAATGGGTGACCTAGGCTCGAGTCCATGTAGGACCGCTTTCGAGACATGGGCTATGCGGCTATGCCTATTTTTCAAAAAGAAAAACTTTGCCAATTTATTGGGTGACACATTATAAAAAATCTTTAATTATATGGAATTAATGAATCGATATCATGGTTCTTAAAGAAACATTGAAATGTGTTTAAATAGAGATGGAAATAAAATGTGTTGTTATTCTATGAATATATCAATATAACAATGAAAATGTAATTTTGCTTTGATTTTAACTTCGAACGAGCTCTATTATTACATTTCAAATTAACCAAAAGTTATATATTAGCATTAATTAAGAACTTTCAATTACCTTTAAACCATATTAAAAGTTATGTAACTTAAAATTAACACTAATAAGATGTACGAGCATGTTTGTTTTTTTTTTTTTTTTTTTTTTTTTTATCGTTATTATCTTATTAAATTATAAATGCACAAAGATAGTTTATTTCTAGACCAAATATGATAATTAATGAATAATAATAAAAATTCAAATAAATATTTATATTTTTATCATAATACCATATTATTGGTTTTGGACTTTGAAAAGAACTTGCTTTCACATTTTGATGAGCAATGTAATAATATTTCGTATTAATTGTAACTATGAATCAAATTAAACTTGTTGATTTCATTTTAATTTTGGTTTAGACCACCCTAATTATAAGATTCGTGTTCCACCCTAAGTAGGATACTCAAGTTTAAGGTTAGTTTTTTTTTTAAACGACAAATTTAACCTAGTCCTAAACTACACCTTAAATCCATTTATGTCCACGACGGGACTTGAACCCTCATCCTCAAGAAGGGAGAGCAACACCGGATACCGCTGGGCTAGAAGCCCTTTGGTAAGTTTAAGGTTAGTTAACCATTTGAATATTTTACCTATTGCAGTTTGCACAAGTTGTATGATGGTTTGATTTCGTATCCTTGTTGCTTTGCTTCCAAATATAAAACTCCTCTGGATTGCAATAGGGTTTTAATATCCTTCCTATCGTTAATACCGTTTTTGCTTTCGCTCATGATAGCCTTGAAAATATTCTTAAGAAAAATTTCATAATAATGTACATGATATCAAGGCTCTATCATACATACTATTATTTAGTATTTCCCAATATAAAGAGAGATGGAAACGAGCCCGGAAGTACTGAGGACCCCAATTCCATCTTATCTTCAAATCCCCATTTTGATATCCATCCTACCGGAGAATATAAATGAACCTTCATTCTTATCCTGTTGGGGACCGGGAGATCCCCAACAGAGAATCGGATGCAGGTTGCAGGTTTCTCGCCGGATATGTTTTTGTTTGGGCAAATGTCATATTAGCCCATCGAACTTTTCGCGTTTTTTTAAAAGGTCACTAAACTTTTTTTTTTTGCACATTAAAGGAATATACTTTCATTTGACCGTTTTAAAATACCCTTATGTAACCTTTTACCGGGTTGAAAGGTAATGTACATGCCACGAGGGAAAATATCGGTGACACGTCATTTAATGAAATGGCCACCTGTGGTAGACTTATATTAATTTGTTATAAAATAAATCGTTTGCTTTATACAATCCCCTCCCCCTCATTGAAGAAACCCCTCCTCATTGAGAAAACCCTCGTCCCACCATAGGAACTGAAGATCGATGGCTATATTCCTCTCAATCAAAATTCATTTCCAAGGTGTGTTCATCAACAAACCTTTTTGCTATTCTGATGGTGTTCATCATGTGTTCGACAACGTCGATTTTGCTGGTATGTCATATAATGAGTTTGTGGGTTTTCTTTAACGATTCACACAAGAGAAGTGTGAGAAACTTTATTATTGTCAACCCTATTTACAAATTCCAGAAGGTTTAACCTTGATTTCGAATGAACCTCAATATCAAGAATTTATAGACATTGCTTATCAATGTGGAGTACAAGTTCCTGTTTACATGGACCATTTTGGTACTACTGTGCACGTAAGTAAGGCAAATGAAAATGAAAATGAGGATAATTGTTCTGTGAAGTCAAACATGTCAATCGAAGGGGAAGAAGGTATTGACCTAATTGACTTCATGAGTCCACAAGAAAGCAACATGGAATGAGTAACCTATGAAGGAGTAAGTCAGGAAAATGGAAATGAGGAAGTCACAGAAGGTGATCCAAAAGATGATGAAGATGATAATGTCCCAGATGTGAAAGGAAAACCGATGTTTAATGAAGACATACCTTGGAAGAAGCATTTTCCAATTCTAGGTATGAGGTTCACCAACCCTCAACAATTAAAATTTATGATTTGTAATTATGCTGTAGCAAATGGGTATCAACTGTACTTTGAAAAAAACGACAGTAAAAGGTTATTGGTTAAGTGTAGTACTGGTCAATGCACATTTAGGCTATGGGCATCATGGATGAGTGAGGAGCAGTCATTCCAAATCAAGTCCCTTATCATTGACCACAATTGTGCAAGAAATTTTAAGTTAGCGTCAATTGTCAATTACAGATGGATTGGTAGTCATTTCACCAGGGAAGTTCTTGAGAATCAGAAATTCAATGTTAGGATGTTAAAGGAGGAAGTAAAGACTAAATTTGGCATAGAGGTTAGTATGGGACAATATAGGAGAGCTAAGCAACATGCAATGTCTCTTGTTGAAGGTACCATAGTGGAAAATTATGCAAAGTTGTGGTCCTATGGTGAAGAGATAAAAAGGTCTAATCCAGGGTCAACAGTTAAGTTGTCTGTGAACTCTATGCCAGATGGGAAAACTTACTTTAGCAGGATATATGTATGTTTTCATGCACTAAAGGAGGGTTGGAGAAGTGGTTGTAGAAGGATAATAAATTTAGATGGGTGTTTTCTAAAAGGAATGTGTACTGGTCAGTTATTATGTGATGTTGGTAGTGATGGGTTTTGAGCATTCTAACACTCCTAAGTGTACATGCAACCCTAAATAACTTGGATCTATGTTTTCTATATTATACATGCAAATATGATTATCCAAGGTATTATCCTAACTAGCATACCAAAACA